ACACAGAATGAGATACAGTTACCGTCATAGACACCGCATTTGTGGGCAGCCAGAGGGCTGAGAGCCAGTTAGCGGGTCGGATTACCAGCTGGGAATCCAAGGCAGCCCTCACGGAGGCGGTCTCATCACATTACCTCTGCAAATATTTTAATCTAGAAACACCATAGACTGGATACAAAAACCCCTGACTATCTGACCCCTGGGTGTGGCTTGGGACTTATTTTGAACCAGCTGACTTTTTTCCCCTCGTAGATAAACAGAAATCCACAGCTAGAAATAAAGGCAGAGCACATAAAGATTAAGAGTGAACCACGTGTTTCTCTGACTACTCTGAAAACAAAGACAAAAAACTTTAGATCACATCAGAAGCTCCGTGAGACTTCTCAGAGCAATCCCTTGCTTAAAAGGACCCGGGAGAGGCGACACACCACAGTTCTGAAGGGCTGCTTTTGTTCTGTCGTTCGATGGCAACCAACTTCCGGTGACCGAAAGAAATAAAACATGACGACTTCGAGTTAAAGGCTGGCTCGCCTGGATTGCAAGACTCCTCACCGTGGGATGTTGGGACCCCAAGATGCAGGTGAGCTTCTCCTGCTACCACCCCTGTTTTACCCACAGTGCTGACTGTCACATTGCCGTCTGACGACAGGGTAGCATGTTACATTGTGCGGGACAAAATGTGACGGAACGGGCCCTCGAGGCTCCTGATTCTAAGTCAGTCATATTCTAAATGACAGTATAAGAAAGAGTTCGGGGGTGCGGGGGGAGGTTCCCATCACTGTCTCTAATAGTTAAGCCACACTGTCATTTCAGTCAGCACAGGTGGTCTCAGAAGCGTGGGTTTGGGATCATGAGAGGGAGGTGGCTGAGCTGATGGGTACCACATGGGGAGGGCAGGAGGGAGATGAGATTTAAGAAGTTGTTCTGGCTTTCTCTTCCACAGCTGGGCCACAGACATCTTCCCATCTACCTGGCTCGCAGATCAAAAGATGGGGGCCTCTGAGATCAAAAGATGGTCATGGAACTGTACCTGGTGGTACAGGGCCACGTTTCCAGCTGTGAGGGAGGCTGAGCAGGAGGAGGATCACAAGCTCAAGGTGGTTGTAGGCTGTAAAAGTGAGTCCCAGGCCAACTGGGCAACTTAACTGAGACCCTGTCTCAAAAAATAAAATGAGGGCTCAGATGGAAGCTTTGTCAGTAAAGCATTGGCTAAGAATACAGGAACCCTGGGATTGCATCCCCAGCATGAATTTGTCATGATGAGGCACACTTGTAATCCTCCCCACAGCGGGTAGAGACAGGATGTACTATCATAGTTCATGTGGAACCATCATTGTGGGATCCTGTCATCTTTTTGAAGATTTCAAAGTCACTGTTAGGCATGGTCATGGTTCCCTGCAGACTTTTTTTTTTTTTTTTTTTTTTTTTTCTGTGGTTTGGAGCAATCACAGTCTGATAAATGTCTGTCTCTCGGAACCATGAACATTCTTCCCTAGAACAGAAAATCTTCACCACATTTTCTCCCCACCATCTGTCTTGCCAAACTTTTCCAAACTGACCTTTGCCGATGCTTTCTTGTAACACGATGGTCCTGGCAATTTTTCTCTGAACCAGCAGTAATAAACCTTTCGTCCCAGGTAGCAGCATCACCACAGTCACCAACATGATGAGAAGGAGCCAGCAACTCGGAGCAGCTTTTGCCTCCATGGTCCCACCACAGTTTGTGGTTCAGCCCGGGCCGAAGCTTCTCCCAAGCCTCCTAGGCTGGCCTCAAACTCAGAATTCTCCTATCTTTGCCTCCTTCAGTAAATCCTACTGGTGTGCGCCACCACAACCAGCTGAGTGTAGCTCAGGCCTGAGCTGGGGCCCACAAGGCCACAGGCAAGCAGCTTTTTCATGAATTCGTACCACAAATGTTGGGCACCAGATGTAGCAGGAATCTTAACAGTTCTTATTAATAAAATCAAACCTGAGGCCAGTTATTGGGGTCAATGCTGGTAGATCAGAGAGACAGAACAAGCCACAGCTAACCTCACCTGGCCAATTTCTCAGCTGGTCTTGTTTCCTCAGACTGGAAGCCTCTGTGTCCTCATAGCCAAATGGCTCTCAGCTGAACTGTGCTGCTCAAAACCTAAAATCTGAACCAGCCAAATGCTTCTAGTTTCTGGTCCTCACGCCTTATATACCTTTCTGCCTTCTACTACCACTCCTTGGGATTAAAGGCTCGCTTTCTGGGATTAAAGGCGTGAGTCACCATGCTTGGCTGTATCCTTGAACACATGGATTTCTGCCTAGCTCTGCCTCCCAAGTACTGGGATTAAAGGCATGTGCTACCACTGCCTATCCTCTACGTTTAATATTGTGGCTGTTCTGTCTCTGACCCCAGATAACTTTATTAGGGTGCACAATATTTTGGGGAACACAATACCACCACATTTCCCCTTTTTTGTCTAAAATTAAAAAAAGCTTATAACTAATACAAGAAAAATTATGTCCAATAAGTATATACAATATACACAGTCAAAATTACATTAATGATGTCTAGTCCACTAACATTTGACAGATTCAGACAAAAAAACTCCATTAATATATTAACAATATCCAGTCCAGTAACATCTGATAAACTCTAAAAATTTTCATTACTTATCTTATTTAAAACAAGTAATTCCTTTTTAAAAGTATTTTTCTTTCCATTATAGATTCAGTAATCTACCTTTTGTCATTTTTATATCTTCCTCTTTTTCTTTTTAGTGTAGATTCAGTCATCTACCCATTTATCCTATTATTCTTTATCTTTTTTCTCAGAATAGATTCAGTGATCTATTTCATATTCATATTCTTTTCTCTTTTTTCTTTCTTTTTAAACAAAACCTCTGAATCTAATCTCCATGTTCAGCTTTTTTCCTGACCATTAACAATTAACAACTTGTAACCAACCATCATAAGCAATGACAATATCCATAACTCATTAAACAACCAAAAATCTCCCATCCCACCTCTTGGGAATGTGGGTGTTGTTTTCTTAAAATTACTTCCTCTTTCTAGGGTGAAGGCATCTTTAGGGGATTCTGAAAAGAAAATTTTGGGGTTAATTGTCAAGTCCTGTATCATTTGTCCAGTCACAATAGGAAAGTTCAGGACTTTTCACAAGTCCTTGCGTGAGTAGTCTGTTAGGCTGGATCATCTCAGCTAGTCATCTCTAAATTGTCCTGACCAGTTTGTAGTCCAAAGTCCATCTTTCCATGGTGTTAATCAGCTTTATTATGTACTGCATAGTTTTATGTCAACTTGATAAAAGCTAGAGTCGTTTTGGAAGAGGGAACCTCAGTTGAGAAAATGCCGCCACTAGGTTGCCCTATGGGCAAGCAAGCATATGGTGTGTTTTCATGATTGATAATTGATGTAGAAGGACCCAGTGTATTATTGGTGTCTTAGTTACTGTTCTATGGCCATGAAGAGACACCATGATCAAGGCAACTTATAAAAAAAAGCATTTCATTGGGGGCTTGCTTACAGTTTCAGAGGCTGATTCTGTGACCATCATGGTGGAAAACATGGCAACAGGTAGACAGGTAAGCATGGTTCTAGAACAGTAGCTCTGAGTTTATATCTAATCCACAAACAGAATGCAGGGGAGAGAGGGAGGGAGGGGAGGGAAGGGAGGAAGAGGAGAGAGCAGAGAGGAGACAGCAGAGAGGAGAGAGAGAGAGACTGGGCCTGGTATGGGCTTTTGAAACATCGAAGTCCACTCCCAGTGACACACCTCTTCCAACAAGGCCACACCTCCTAATCCTTCTTAAACTTGTCCACCAATTATGAACTTAAGGGGGCCATTCTCATTCAAGCAACCACAATTGACAGTGTCACCCCTGGGACAGTGGTCCTGGGTGCTTTACGAAAACAGGCTAGGGGCTGAAGAGATGGCTCAGAGGTTAAGAGCACTGGCTGGTCTTCCAGAGGTCCTGAGTTCAATTCCCAGCAACCATATGGTGGCTCACAGCCATCTGTAATGAGATCTGGTGCCCTCTTCTGGCCTGCAGGGATACATGCTGGCAGGATACTGTATGCATAATGAATAAATTATGTATATATGTATATGTATATATATAAAAGCAAACAGGCTGAACAAAGAGGCCAGTGAGCAGCATTCCTCTGTGGCCTCAATAGTTCCTGCCTTGTTCCTGTTCCAACTTACCTCAGTGTTGAAGTGTGACCTAGGAGTTGTAACATGAACCCTTTCTTCCCCGATTAGTTTTGGTCACAGTGTTTTATCACAGCAATAGAAACTCTTTTTTTTTTTTGGTATTTTTTGAGACAGGGTTTCTCTGTGTAGTTTTGCGCCTTTCCTGGAACTCACTCTGTAGACCAGGCTGGCCTCAAACTCACAGAGATCCGCCTGCCTCTGCTTCCCGAGTGCTGGGATTAAAGGTGTGCGCCACCACCGCCCTGCTAGAAACTCTTAAGACAGAGGTTAGTACCGGGAACGGAGTATTGCTGACAGACCTGACCATGTTTGGGGGAGGATCGCGGCGGTCCTGGTGAAAAAGCAGGCTGAACAAGCCATGAGGAGCATGACAAGAACCAGTGTCCCTCCATGGCCTCTGCTTCAGCTCCTGCCTCCAGGTTCCTGCCGTGAGTTCCTGTCCTGACTTCCCTCAGTGACTCCGAGTGTGACCCAAGAGCTGTAAGATGAAATAAACCCTCTCTTCCCCCAGTAGCTTTTGGTCATGATGTTTTACCATAGCAATAGAAATTCTAATAGACACAGGAGCATCAGAAGTTCAAGGTCATCCTCAGCATCGAAGGCTGGGGATGTAGCTCAGTGGTAGGATACTAATATCTGTGAGGCCCCTGGTTCAAGCCCCAGGTACTACAGTACAAACAAACAAAAACATCACCAACAAATCCAACCCATGACCCAGTGATGAAAACAGACCTCCCAGGATGTGAAGTGATGCTATCATGAAACCGACCCAGTAAACAGAAGAAACACCACCTACCAGCCGGAAACAAGGGTCAGCCGACCGACCTTTGCCTCTACACTGTGGTCCCCCACCTCCAAACTGAAGATATCTTTGATTTCTCAGAATCCAGCTATTCCAGCCATCCTCTCCTCCACGGGCAAGTTAGTGGGCTTAGGCCAGCGCTTCGGCACCCAGTTCAGAGTTGACGATGTCGTAAACCACACTGGGAAGAGCTGTCAGCCCAGTGGGCACCTGCACACCTCTGCTCAGGGCTGGACTAAGGTGTTCTCACAGGCTGGGGCCCCGGGGCTCCTCTGTCCCACAGAGTGACTGCGAGCCCCCGCTGAGTTCACAATACTCGAGTCACTGTGGGGGCAGTTGTGATGCCAAAAGTTCTGTTGGGTTCTCACCAGAATCTCTCAGAAGACACCTTCAGATTCCAAGACTGCGCTGGGTGGCATCGCGAAGATGTTCCGGTTCTTTCCAGCTGCCTGTAAGGGGCTTGTTGGGATAATCAAAGGATGTGGGGTGCCTTGTTCTAGAAAAGGGCCTTGTGACGTTCTGGGTGTGCACCCAGGGAGACAACAGTAGTTCTGAAGCTGGCTTTTCTGTGTGTGATGAGGGAATTCCTTGGACGTCTGGCTCATCTTTGTGAGGTCTTTCCTTTTTTCTTTTAACAGTGTGTGTGTGTGTGTGTGTGTGTGTGTGTGTGTGTGTGTGTGTGTGTGTGTGTAGAGAGAGAGAGAGAGAGAGAATCTGTGTGACTGTGGCTGTGTTGTGCCACACCATGTGTGTGGAGGTCAGAGGACAAATCTCAAGAGTTGGTTTTGTCCTCCTGTGTGTGGTTCCCAGGGTTTGAACATGGGGCTTGTACCTTTGTCTACTGAGCCATTTCTTCAGCCCTTTATCTTTCTTATCTGTTTGTCTATCATCTATCATCTATCTATCTATCTATCTATCTATCTATCTATCTATCTATCTATCTATCATCTATCATCTATCAGCAGGGTCTCTATGTTGCTCTGGCTGGCCTGGAACTCACTCTGTAGACCAGGCTGGCCTCGAACTCACAGAGATCTGCCTGCTCTGCCTCAAGTGCTGGGATTAAAGGTGTGCACCACCACACCCTGTAGGTCCAGCTGCTCAGGAGGCTGAAGCGGAAGGGCCATGTAAGCCCAGGAGTCTGAGGCCAGCTGGCTATAGTGAGTTCTTATCATAGAACAACAGAAAAGGTAGATGAGGAGGAGGAAGAGAGGGAGAGAACACTAAACGACTAGATGCCTTCCAGCTAATGGTGGAGGCGGAAGAACCAGGTCCAGGGCTGACTCTAGCTCTCCCATTGTGTCTTCGTCTGTCCCAGGAAACATTTCCTGCTGCCTTCGGCTTGGGCTGGAGTGACTCGTAATTCTGCTCACACAGATGTGCCTTCCCGTCTGCAGTCAGCGTCCGCCTCTATACAAATGGCAAAGTAATCCTGTGGCCATGGTCTCTTCCTCCCCTCCCCAAAGCAGTTTTCACTCTTTAAAATCCGGGCTCTGTAACACTGGCGTGCAACCACAAACTATGATCTTTGTTTGGTGTTTCCCATGTGCCTTAAGTTTCTGCTCCTCTTTTTTTTTTTTTTTTTTTTTTTTGAGAGGGTGTGGGGAGGGAAACTTAGTTCAATGTTTTTCTTTGTCAAGCATATTATTTCAGCCTTTGAGGTTAACTAATAAATCACAAGTTCTTGGACATAAAAATCTGGATGAGGAAGGACCTCAAAGATCTGTTCACTTAACCCCATCATCAGATGGGCGGGACTAGCCAGTGGTTATGGTCACCCTGCATCAGTAGAGCTCAGGACCTGACTGGTGCTCTTGGGGAGCAGGAGCCGTCTAAAAGCTGAGGTGATTTTACTACTTCTAAGGTGTTCATCAATCAAGAGCGGTCTTCTAAATGAATGTTGTAGATTTTCTGTAGCAAAAAGCATTTGTACCCAGTGGCAGCCAGCTGTACCCTGACCATTTCCCAGTAATATCCCCAAGACACTTGGCAGCCACCACCCTGCCCTCTGGGCTATGGCAGCTGCTAGGGGCTTGCTGAGGCAAAGCCTCCCTGGCAAGCTTCTGGCCTGGGCCCCCCCCCCCCCTAGAAGAGGGATGTTTGGCTGCAGCCTGTCTTCCAGGTATTCAAAAGACCCCACCTGTGCACATTCCTGTCAGTCCTTCTATGCTGGTGGTCCCCAACTTTCCTCATGCTGAGACCCTTGAATACAGTTCCTCATGTGGTGGTGACACCCCCCCCCCCCCCCCATAAAATTATTTCGTTGCTACTTTGTAACTGTAATTTTGCTACTGTTATGAATCATAATGTAAATATCTGATATGCTGGATATCTGATGTGTGACTCCCAAAGGGGCCACAACCCACAGTTTGAGAGCCACTGTTCTGTGCTCTTCTAAGACACAACAAGAGGAAACCACTGGAAGACAGCTGAGGGGAAAGAGCACTGAGACCTATGTGAGGTAAAGTAAGCCGGGCACAGGAAGCCAAGTACTTGATCATTCCTATGTAGAATCCAGAAAAGCTAATCCCATGCTGGGGGATGGCTGGGTCAATAAAACACCTGCTGCATGGCACGGGCAGTTGAATTTGATCCCCAACACCCATGTAAGAAGCCGGGTGTGCTGTGAGGTGCCTGTAGAACCAGTGCTGAGCAAGCAGAGGTGGGAGGGTCCTCGGGGCTCAGTGGCCAGCCTGTCTAGTCAATTGTAAACACCAGGCTCAATGAGAGATCCTGTCTCAGAAACCCCACATGCACACATGTTCAAGCACACCCCCCCACAAACATATGTTCATTCAATCAGTGCACACATACACACCACACCACACCACACACACACACACACACACACATTGAAAAGCTGATCCCATAGAAGCAGAGAGCAAAACAATGGTTAGCAGAGCTGTGGCAGGGATGGGGAGGACCTGGTCAATGGCTACAAAGTTAGTCTAGGGAGAGTATGTCCTGATATTCTAGTGCACAATGAGGCACTTGACAAAGATAAATATTTCAAAATAGCTCTCAGAAAAGATTTTTGTTTTGTTTTTCGGGACAGAGTTTCTTTGTGTAACTTTGCGCCTTTCCTGGATCTCGCTCTGTAGACCAGGCTGGCCTCGAACTCACAGAGATCTGCCTGCCTCTGCCTCTCAAGTGCTGGGATTAAAGGCGTGCGCCACCACCGCCACCCAGTGAGAAGATTTTTAATATTTCACTATAAAAAATAATGTGTTCAAAGTGATAAATAAGGTACTCTTAGGCCCAGTGTGGTGCTGCTCGCCTTTAATCCTACCGCTTGGGAGGCAGAGGCAGGCAGATCTTTGAATTGGAGGCCAACCTGGTTAGCATAGTGAGTCCCAGGTCAGTCAGAACTATACAGTTAGACCCTGTATTTTTTAAATGCTACTACTTCATATACGTATAAAAACATCATATTGTGTGCCACAAATATTTGCAACTATTGTATATCAATTAGAAAATAAAATACTACTTTAGAAAAGGCAACAGAATGGAGAACTTGAGTGGCCATGTCTGAGCTGAGCCAGCTTCAAGCATCACGTGACTCGGAGACGTCAGGGATGTGTAGATAAGTAATGGGTAGCAACTCTAAATAACCTGTTACCTGGGTTTCAAGCTCTCACTCTGAGAGAACAACTCCACATTTGATCTTCACCAAAAGGCTGAGAAATGATGAGAACAAACGCCAAATGGAACCTCCCAAGAGAGTGATCAAGATATGGTTAAGTACAGAGCACATCTCCTTAAAATTTAATGGCTAAAAATTATTACCCTTCCCTCACCCTTTTTCTCAACAGTATTTAGGATGAGTCATCCTTTGGTTGAGATTTCTGCTTTCAGGTCTGTAATTGAATTTCTCTAAATGAAAAACATCTGTTTCTGTTCCTCCACAGAAACCAGAACAAGCATTGTTTCATACATTATTCTGATACATTTTCTAATGAAGCTGTTTTCTCTTCTGACAGCATAGAACACACAGTGCAGACATTCAATGAAAGCCAGACGACATATTGTGACCATTAAGAATGCCAAGGCCAGGCAGCAGAGGACCACAGACATCAGCCCACACCATCATGGACGAAGCCGACTTTTCAGAAGACACAACCTGTAAACAACAGGAAGACTTGCCTTACGATGGGGTCTTCTCTCAGATGAAGATGTGCAGCTCTTACAACTTGACCTCAACAAACAACAACCCTGCTGTCTGGGAAGACGTTGTTCTGTCGGGAAAGGACCCTCAGGAAAAGTCTGCCTGCTGTAAGATGTGCCAGAACACAGCGGTGGTCACTGCAAATGTTGTCAACAACAGGCATGATAAAGATAAACAGTGCACCTTGGCTTCTTGTGGTCCAGCTAATAAAGGAGATGCCCCAAAGTCACACATTTCGGATGTTTTACTCCATCGACTCTCCAGGGAGCAATTCTTAAGGGGACAAGGCCCTGGCTATGAAAATCTCCCAGAGACCTTGCATGCTGACCATCTTGATGACACAGCCATTCTTAAAAGTGTCATTTCACGTTATGGAAAGAGCTATTGCCCCAAGGAACAAAGTCCAGAATTCACTGACCAACCCAGTTCCAAAAGTGGTACAGAAAATAGCAGTAGTTCCAGCTTCTCTCCAGGCACAACAGGAGATAGTAGCTCTCCCTTAGAAACACCAGTGACTGCTGGGCAGAGCCACCAAGAAGCTCCAAGCTTTCTAAGTAGAACTAAAGGTCCCGGTGATGAACACAGAAACTGCCAAGGGCAGACACCCCAGAGATGGCTGACTGAAAAAGCAAGTTCAGGCCACCGGTTCAAATACAGTCCAGGTCAAGTGCATTACCAGCTTCCAGATTTTTCTAGGGTTGCTCCCCAAGTGAAAATCCCTAGAAATACCATAACTAATAAACCACTTACAATAGCTAACCAAGCCAGCTTTTCTCCTGGGTTGAGAAATAAATCAACAGTTGTGCAAGATAGTTTAGGAGCCATGTCTGGGCCAAATTGTGTTAGAAAACATCAACCAGAGCAAAAAAGGAAACTTACTGAACCTTCCCAGGAAACCCAGGTAAGTGGAGAACGGTCCCTAACAATACTGATGAACTTAAGAAATGTATTGGAGAGCATGGTGGCGTGTACCTTTAATCCCAGCACTCTAGAGGCAAAGGCAAGAGGATCTATGTAAGTTCAAAGCCAGCCTGGTCTACATTTTGAG